CAACAAATACTCGTGATATTTAGCATCAGCTGCTGTTTTGAAGTCGGCTCTAGCAGTACGGTGTCTGGCAATATTTTCGGCCGTCAAAGCGCTTTCTTACGTCTGTGAGCCATCTCCTTGTTACGCAGCAAGTCTCAAACGGACCGGTCAAACCATGGAGGAACATGTCGGACATGTCATGCTGTCGGAGCTCAACAACGGGTATGAAGTCTGCAGTGGCGGGGAATGCAAGATTTTTTAACAGATGAACAGTATCATCAACACTCGAATCATTTAAAATACGTCAAGGAATAAGCCCGAGAGCAGTGCGCAGGCCGCCAAAGTCTGCTTCTTTGTAGTTGTAAGCCTTATATCGGGAAGGGCGGGGGGAAGGGGCGGTCCACAGTTGACAGAAAACTGAGTCGTCACCATGCGGTGGTCAGAGTTGAAAACACCGTCGCCGACCTCAGTTGTAGCAGCTCCGCCATAGGAGATGGCGAGGTCCAGGATATTCTTCACGCGCGTTGGTGACGTTACAGATTGCATCGCTTCAGACTCAGCGATAGAGTCTGGGACCTTGACGGCTCTGACGGTGCGCCTGAGTAGCATAGCATCGTCGCCATTACCCTGCCACCAAATCTCAGGCAAGTTAAAGTCGCCGACAATGAGAAACGGTAGACTGGCGGAGCGAATGCTCTGGAAGAGGGCAGCGATTAAATTCACATCACGGTCAGTATATGGCGGACGGTAGTAGACAGCCATGATGATAGGGTAGATGGTCCCCAACAGGATCGTCAGCACCTCGCAGTCGGGCTTCAGGTCTAGCCAATGAACAGGTGACAGGCCCGTCTTCACTGTGCAAGCAACGCCTCATCCTCTGCCGTTCCTGTCCGCACGGAACCAGACATGGTCCGAGACATGTGCATGGTCCAGACACGTGCTGGACTCTGAGTTGCAGCTCAGAGTCCAGCACATGTGATTCCAGCCATGCCTCGGTCAGACTGACAACATCGAAGCCAGCTAGCTGGCCACAGTGAGAGCGCAGAGGGCATAACCTGTTCTTCAAGCTGCAGACGCTCTGGCAAAACACTCACAGTGTTCTGAGTCTGTGCGCCGGCGCTGGGTTCACTTCCATATATCCAGAGAGAAGGAAACTTGCCAGAAGCCAGCAGCACCAGGTAGGTGTGATGGGCTTGCGTTGATACTGCAGAACAGACGGGAGCAGACCACGCGGTCCGAACTCTGGTCCAGAGACAGCGGTGGCGACAGCATCTGATGCTTGTCTCTTGTCATCGCATAGGCCATTAGATGCCAGAAATACAGCAAACAGCGGGGTAAAATCCAAGCCCCCCCTACGGGACTCCTGCGACCTGCGACAGCTTATTAGCACCACACCAGCGGAGCAGGGCACGCAGAGACGGACGCACAATCCCTGCGGCCACCGGCCGGCGGTATTTGCCATGCCCCAGGCCTGTCAGAGCTTTGCGTCCTCCCACTGTCTTCAGGCTGGCCCCGGCGGCCATGACGGTGCCGGGCGCGCCTTTCCAAACACTCACCGACGCTAAGGTCTATCGTGGAAGCCTACAGTATCTCTTTGAGCAACAACTTCGAAAGTCAGCTAGCCGCCTACAAACCACGTTGGTCGCTCAGCTGAAGACCTTAACGACGTAATGCACTCAGATCGCCGATATCTAGGGAGCGCCGCAAAACACGACCACTCCACCCGCCAGCTGGCCAACAATATTTGTGTTTGGTGGTTTGCGTAGTGATATCATTTTTATCTGTTGCGCACATTCCTGCTGACTGGATACGATAGTGGTGTTTTTTACCTGGTATGTGGATGTCATAAAATCACAAATCTGTCATTTTCAGCACCTTCGCAGCGTCTCGCACGCCACGCGTGAAGCACTGCGTCGTACTTGTGTTATTTGGTCAACCGAACACGTTTCTTCGGTGGTCACAGAAAGTCGCCTTTAAAAAAATTGATGTTTTTTGTTATCCATGCGTCTGGAGCCATCACATACAGTCGAAGTCACCTCATTGGTGCGACAAACGGTTGCGCATTCTCATTTCTGTGCCAGCTGCAATGTCGCGTCACATTGACGTCATGAGGAAGCACAAAAGCGTAACAGGGATAAAACTTCGGGGATAGTTACAGATAATGCAACTTTGTGTTAAAGCAAAATAATGAGATGGAATGGGCTTCAGTTTTGGTGATAAAACTGCTCAACGGGCGAGCACTCGATCAATAGGAATCGAGGCCACCGCCATCTATAGGTGTCACTGGATACGGAATCCTCGGCAACTAGCTGACAAAATGTCTCTGCTCTGCTGACTGTTGTGAAGCAGTCTGCGTGGAAATGCTTCTGCACGTTTTGCCATCTTGAACAGCGTGTTGACTCTAAGGTGTTAGTTGCAGGTAAGACACAGCTCTTTGAACATGCATCATCACTGAACATGTCTTGATCAGACAAAAATAAGCTAATTTGCCTCGGGGGACACAAAATTAATTTACTATTGCTCTTTGTCGGTTGGCACCCATGAAATACAGCCAAAGTAATTTAATCGATTTCGGGAAAAACGGCTCCATATTTTACAGTACTAGACCTTTGGCCATGCCATTAGGATAAAGTCTTGTGTATTTTTGGTATTTGGCGCATATGTGGGAGTTTGCTGAAAGACTTTGAGATGTGTGTGTTGCGTGCCTGTCAGGTTCCCTACGTCCATGTTCTTCCTAAGGAGCTATTATAAGTGTTTTTTTAAGAAGGCCAGTTTAATTTTTGTGAAGTTTCTTTACCTTATTATCAGGTGTTGGCACTGAACCTGTCCTGAGTTTCCCGTATGTCCCTTCACTCACCAGGTTGTTCAGCTTGCGGACATGCTCCACTTTATTCATGAGCACTGTGACACGGCCTTGGTCAGCTGGGCTTATGATGACGCTCTCGTTACTCACTAGGCTCTTGTTCGCTGCCTGGCACTGTGACACGTCCTTTATCAGCTGGGGTTATGATGACGCTCTCGTTACTCACCAGGTTCTTGTTCGCTGCTTGATCTGCGTTGGTCATATTTGGCTTTGGTGGTTTGGCCTTTTCCAAAGCTTGTTTGACCTGCTAGCGCATCTCATCTCCCTGATCTCTTCCCATCCGCGTCACGATCTCTTCTATGCGAGTCACGACATCTAGGTGGTTTATTCGTACTCTTGAAATGGCAAAGTCTAGTCCTTCATGTAGTTTCGCTTCCTCGCGCAATAATAGTTTTCATCACACAGGCTTGCAACCACCTCAGTTAGCTGCAATATTGGTTTATTGAACCTCTCTGGCTTCTGAAGGTGAATCTTGTTCATCCTTTGACCTTTGCGCTGTGTATCTTGTTCATCCTTCGATCTTTGCTCTTGTCGCCCTGCAGGGCAGCGCGATACAGTGTGCTCGGATTCGGGGGCCATCGTGGAGGTGTTTTGTTGGGGAGCTGAATATTAACAATACCAAATAAAGATGTTCAAATGTTTATCATGCCGAGAAACGCACTAATAAATGTTCCATATGCGAATTACAGCCGTTTAAAAACTGACGCTTCAGATGAAACATCCTACACCCAATAATAACAGACAGCCCTAATATCTGCTACGTTGTCTGCCCAAGTCGCGCGACACCGTCCTGTTGGTAGTGAGGTGAATGGTAATCTATCGGGCACTGCGATAGGACTGCCTGTCGATATGGACTCGAGGGAGCTTCACTTAGCGGCGCTCGCTAATATTTGCAGCACCATATCATGCCGACACTGATCATTAACGTCGAGCTCACGTGCCAGGATGAAAACGACCACGAGGTAAAGGAGCATACTGGCAAGCGCACCAGATTCAGTGAGAGATTGTGAAAAGGTATTGGCCAGCGCACCAGATTCAACGCATGCGTGGCGTCTCTTCGGCACCGCGAAACGCAAGACGAGGCGTGCAACGTTGCCCGAAGAACTGACAATGATACAAGGGAACCCCAGATCAATTCACGTGCCGAGCTGGCACCGGAGCTGGAGCTGAGCTGCCGAGCTGGGCCTGCCGACCTTGCTTGACCCCGCCGCCCCGGGTCATTCAAGTCACGTGACGCGGCCGCCCGCCAGCTCGGCCCGTAGAACGGCACGTGGAACCGCCCGAACCTGCTGACCATGGTGCCGCCTTGGCTGTTGTTATTTCAGGTCACCAGACCGTTACCGAGGAACGGAACACATTCTGTGGCTGGATTGGGATGTCAACTCCTTGACAGAGTCAGACTAACAGAAAACAGAGGAATTGAATTACGCACTTGACCCGTAGGAAATACGGACTTCAGAACCCCCAATTAGACGCCGAAGCTTTCATTTCAAAAAGGGTGTTTTGCAGTTTTCTCAAAGATAAAAAAATTTTCGGTGTTGTGGAGGAAAAGCATATCTAAGTGATATAAGTAGACCGGTTTACAGTTCAGAAAAGTTCGTTTTTCCTTGTCTTGAATAAGGAGCCTTGTTTTATTAATTTGATTCCAACACACGTCGACTGCCTTGGCGAAATGTTACACAGAACAGGATTGTTTTATTTCCGCAGAAACTCCATCACCTCTGGATGTTGAAGAGACCATAAAATGGTTTACACTGTGTTATCCAGTCAGAGCGACTTATTGGTGGTAATTCGTTACTACCACACGGTAAGATCCAAAATACTAAAATGCTCCGCTTTAATTGCTGCCCTAGATATTGTGACCCCATCATAAGCACGGTATGTAGTTGCGTCAACTAACCACGAGCAGTGCGTGCTAAACCCCTACCGGTCCCGACTACACATGTCAGGTACCTCATGCTTACGCGTGGTCGTACAGCGTGCAGGAACAACCAATCAATGCTGCCGCCGTTGCCGGGACGCGCCGCCGCCGCCGCCGCCGCCGCCGCCGACGTTAGCCGGCCGGCGCAGTGCCGCGCCGAGCCGGTGGGACCGCGGGCCGACGGTGACGAGCTCTGGCGAGACTGTAGCGTGTTGTGGTGACCCGGCGCGCCGCCGCCGCCGACGCCGCCGCATGGATGGCGGCGGATCGCCGGCCGCGCTACTGCTGCTGCTGCTGGCGGTTGCCGTGACAGGTAACAGGCATCACATGCTGGGCGGCGCTGTTTATGCTGCAGATCGAGAGCTCAGGCGACTGCGTCAGTCTCCGCTGGCTAGGCGGACGAAGGAGTGGGGGGGGGGGGGGGCTGCACTGGTGGCGAGACCTTTTTCTGGAATCGCCGGGTGGTGGTGTACCGCTGCCGACACAGCATGACTGACTCGGATTAGGGAGGTGCTCCGCTGATCAACTTTTTCATCTCGTCCGTTCCAGCTGAGAGCGATGACGTGTCGAGCTGCACCGCCGCTCTGGGCATGCAGGATGGCACAATCCCCGACCAGAACATCACGTAAGTGTGCTCTGTGCACCTCCCCGCCAGCAGCGGTTATGAAACGGCCGTCGCGCTTGGCTCAAGATTGCATGCTATCATCTCGTCATGGCATTGCCGCCCATCTTACGCATAGGGTAGTCCATAAATGCGGGCGCTAGTGGGGGTGGGCTCAATTATGTGAGTACCGACTGGTCTTGGATCAACGAAGATCAAATTAAAGGCCCTCGCAGCTATTAGAACATTGCCACCTGAATGGTTTCGCGGAGTTCAGTGTCCGTACAATCAGCAGTACTCCCTAGCGATGGACTACGAACATGCCCACACGGCCAGCGGTCATACCGTCCAGCGCCAACAGCGTGTGGGCACGGCGCCCTGCCGCCGGCCGCTGCGGCCGACACGTGAGGCAGCGTCTGGTGCCGCTGCTGCAGGGCCTGGCCGAACGTCAGCTATGGGGGAGCGCCCGAGTACAGCCTGGCGTCCGGGGCGCGGCTCAACAGCCAGACGGCCTGGTGTGTGAACCGCACCACCTTCTCCGAGAGGGTCGCCACGCTGGTGGTCGACCTCGGGCAGCCTCGCTTCGTGACAGGTACCGTGGCGATGGGCAGCTGCCGGGCTTCCCGGCCCTGGTAGGCGCACAACTGCCGGGCTTCGCGACCCGGGCAGGCGCGCAGCCGTCGAGCTTCCCGACCCGGGCAGGCACGCAACTGCCGAGCTTCCCGGCCCGGGTACGCGTGCAGCTACGGAGCTTCCCGACCTGGGCAGGCGCGCAGCTGCGGAGCCTACCGATCCGGGCAGGCACGCAACTGCCGAGCTTCCCGGCTCGGGCAGGCGCGCAGCTGCCGAGCTTGGGCAGGCGCCCATCTTCGGAGCCTCCCAGTTCGGGCAGGCGCGCAGCTGCGGAGCTTCCCTACCCTGACAAGCACGCAGCTACTGAGCTTCCCGGCCCGGGCAGGCGCGCAACTGCCGAGCTTCCCAGCTCGGGCAGGCGCGCAGTTGCCGGGCTTCCCGGCCCCGGCAGGCGCACTCTTTTGCCGCCAGTGGCTCCCGCTGATTGCGTGCCCGTGGCTATGGAAGGAGAGAGAGAGAGATCCATAGCATTGGAATGCTTTACCGGCGCTAGAAATATCTCAGGGCCGCCATGGACTAGGGATTTTCCCGGGACAATTCATATTGGATTCTCAGGCCGCCGCGCGCTGCTTAGGTAACAGGTTGGATCCACTGTGGTGAAAATATCAAATGATGTGGAAAGAAAAACAAACAAGTTTTAGATATAACGAACAAAAAAGGCATTCGTTCAAGTAGCCAAATATAAAAACGTTCCCTTGCTTTGCACTCACTCGGGCGTTGAATGACAAACTGGAAGAGTGACAATGCATTGCTAGCAAAAGTCACGTCTTGAAAAGCAGAGCTGCAATGTCAAACAAGTTAAAATGGCTGGGTGGTAATCCTACAAACGGACAATACGTGCAAAAAGCGTGAAGTCGAAATAGGCAACAGTAAATGAGTATCCGCCAGCTATTATTGTGTGAAACGAAATACATCAAAATTAAGAACCTGCGACGTGGGGAAGGCTTTCATGGAGAAACGTAAACTGTGTACTGCATTCAAAGACGAGGAGGCCACATGGCACGCAGGACGGGACCGACTGGCTGAAAGCTGCGCTGGCGGCATATTTCAGACAAGGCATGATTTGGCGTGCAACGTAACACAATGTCACGATCCGTCAGTACCTTTTCAAACCTAAACAAGGATGCTTTCAGTGCTTTACTGGTCACTATTTTCACAACTTCATGTGCACGCCGAAGGTAAGCTACTACACAACAAAGAAAGAGCATTTCCAGTGCCTCACGATTACGTTTCATGCCTAAATGGCTTGACACCGCAGTGTCGCAATTGCCGAAAAGTGTAGAACCAAATACGTAGCATCAGCCAGCGGCAGATCGCATCGCATCTGCGCATCGCAAATGCCGTGTACGCGTACGTTACCGTGTACGTTTTGCAGGGTACACGCACACATACACACACAGACACACACACACACACACACACACACACACACACACACACACACACACACACACACACACACACACACACACACACACACACACACACACACACACACACCACACACACACACACACACACACACACACACACACACACACACACGCACACACACACACACACACACACACACACACACACACACACACACACACACACACACACACACACACACACACACACACACATATATATATATATATATATATATATATATATATATATATATATATATACATAAACAGCATGCGAACAAGAAATGGCGAGTGCGCTTTCTCGGACTGATGACCACTAATGAGTATCACGAGATTACCAGTGAACTACGTGACAAACACGTTCGTCTTACGAAACTGCGCGGTTCAGTAAAATGACCTAGTGGCAGCAAAACACTGTTGCTATAATTTGTGTTTTCGTACTGGCATATCAAAAGGCATCCGTGGGCTCGCCGCGGTTAAGCAAAGGCAAGCATGCACTGAAGTTCGCCCGTCCGAGTCATTATGCATGCTAAAACATGCCTAGCTGTTACGGCATACATTAAAGGCGCGACGTAAGCCTAGAATATACCGCCATTAGCACAGCAGTAGCTGCAACAATCCCCTGCTGTTGCAAAGCTGGCAGCAAGCGGAACATCGATTGTCGGCCACTGCCATTTCAAGCGAGACGGCGCGGTGCATTAGCGATCCGACCGGGCATGTTTTCGCCCGGCAGTCAGGGAAAGGGCACCGATGAAATTGACAACGCACCGAATGCTATACATCACTAAGTAGGCATATTAATTTCATGTCCCATGAGTCATATATAGACGGAAGACACGCCTACGCAAAATGAACACTGCCCCCAGGAAAAGCCGAGACAAAAGACAAGTTCATGCATGTCAGTGTATGAATGTAGCTACGGGCAGGTACGGCTTGACCACAGACTGGCTGCATTCAGACTCCTTTCTGGACTTATGTCTTTTCGGGGCTCGATGCATTTTGCAGACGAGGTAGACTCGCACACAGACGCAAATGTTTGAAAAACAAAGAGCTCGGACTCGAACTCAATCTCATTCTCAATCCCGATCTTCGGGGTTCGGAGTCACCCTTGGGCGAAACGATTGCAAAAACCCACATTTCAAGAAGCATGACTTCCTGTACTATGGCAATAAGCATGACCTTTTCATTTTTGAGAAATCTGACTTCTTCATTTTTAAGAATAATAGCTTCCATTTGAATTTCAGCCATGGCTGAGAAATACGTTTAAATTGCATGGCAAATGGTGTGAGGGGACGGCTTCAGTTCATTGCACAGGGTATTACTTATGGCTAGCTATTCTCATACTTATCAAGTTGTGTTCGGTTCGACGGGTTAGATTTGCTTTGGCTCCTTTCGGCCAAGTTCAGTTGGGTATGGTTACAGTGACTGCCAACTAAAAGGTAAACATGACATGAGTGAGATCAGTTGTGTCCAATTCACACTGCGACATTCGTTTTCCGAAATTGCACCCAGAATGTCATATTTCTTCACTGTAGCGTCTTTACCAAATTGGTCAGGTCAGGAAAGTTGTCATGACTCGCAGTGCCCACTTTCAATCTAATCTTTGATTAAGAAAATTAGCGAGTGCCTTTGAGGCCGAAGAGATCCAAGCGGGGAACCGATTTAAATTTTTGCAATACACTGCCAAAATTTCCCCGATCATTGCTTTTTGTAACGTTTGTCTGGTAACGCAGTTTACGAAACAGTTTCATATTTGTGCAAATGGAAAATTGCACCCTGGTACTTTTTGGATCCTTGAAAACATTTGCCCCGACAATGTGACATGGAAGTTGTCGGTCCACTACGATTCCGTATGACACCGATCGGGCGTGCACAGAAGGCTCCCGGATCTGGACACAAAACGGGATTCGGACTGGACCAAAATCTCCGCGGTCTGCGAGTCCGATAAGCACTCCTGTGCCGTAAAAACAATTGTACTTGGACTTCGACCCATGCAATCTGTCAAGAGTAAGCTCAGGGCTCGAGCCCGGACTTAAGGCAGCCGAGCTTGGACTCGGGCGCATGTTTTTCGCCCAGGCCTGCAGGCAGCGTACAAATTTTTGTTTGCAAATCTGTGTTCAAGGGTGCATGCTAATACAAATGAAATGCAAAAGAGACATGATTTAACCATTTATGGCAGCGGCTCGCCAAAAACCAACATTTCTAAGACTCAGTCTGCATGTTTATACATGGAACAAATTTTAGGACGCTGAAAAGGTTCCACAACACGGGGGCCCGACCTGACATTTAGACAATTCTTGCTACATATCATCATAGAGTCAATGCTAGATCTTGATGACCCATGGTGACCGACAGAGCTTGCCCTCCTGCACGCTATCTCGACGCCTATAGTACCATAATTTTTATACATCAGGCTTACAGGCGTCAGGTTTGTGTCCACACTGCGATATAGATAACGTGAACACCGGATTGGACTGCCGCTGAATTTTAGCGTTTTACGCAGCATCGGTGCTCGAAAACACACGTGTGATCCTGCTCTGAACAGTAGCACCGAGGTGGCATGGCAAGTGCGGTCTATCGCAAGCTTTTTTCTTAAGCCTGAGTCTTCACTTCGCGACGACCGCCCCTACCGCTAGAATCGGCTCAGAATCCGGCTCAACGGCGGCTATCTCGTGACCTTGCGCTGTGTGCACGTCTGCAGAAGCACGCAGCGCGCGCCACTTCGCTCGGTGCGCCGGGTGGTGACGGACGGCGCCCGGGACGTACGTCCACGAGGTGCTCTGGCTCTGCCGGCGTCGGCGCCACAGGAAGGCATCCTCGGCGCTTACCCTTCCCCTCCGAGATGGAGGCAATCCGCACAGTCACCGAGGAGCTGCTGGGTCTGTTCTACATCCGGCGGCCCTCCGCCAGCTACTTGCCGCCGCTGAAGCCGTCACCTAATTACATCGAGCAGGGCATCCCGTACCTTGTGGTGCTGATCGTGCTGGAGGCGGTGCTGTACCGCCTGCAGGGCCACCGGAAGCCAGACATCGCCGACGTCACCGGCTCCATGTCGCAGGGCATGATGCAGGAGACCATGCGCTACACGTTGCGCGGCTGCGAGGGCTGGGCGTACGTGTACGTGTGGCGCCACTGGCGCTGCTTCGACGTGCCCTGGGACTCGCCGATCAGCTTCTGGCTGACCATGCTCGGCGTTGACTTTGGCTACTACTGGTTCCATCGCGCTGCGCACGAGGTCAACATCGTGTGGGCGTCGCACCAGGTGCACCACAGCTCCGAGCACTACAACCTGTCGACGGCATTCCGCCAGTCGTTCGTGCAGCAGTACTTCAGCTGGGGGGTGTACCTGCCACTGGCTCTCCTCGGCGTGGCGCCGTCCATGTTCTTCACGCATGCGCAGTTCAACCTGCTCTACCAGTTCTGGATCCACACGGAGATGGTGAAGAGCATCGGCCCACTGGAGCACGTGCTCAACACGCCGTCCCACCACCGCGTCCACCACGGCTCCAACGTCAAGTACCTGGACAAGAACTATGCCGGCGTGCTGATCATCTGGGACCGGCTGTTCGGCACGTTCTGCTGGGAGGAGGAGACGCCCACCTACGGCCTGGTGCACAACATCGAGTCCTACGACGTGTGGACGATCCAGCTGGCGCACTTCCGCTGGATCGCATCGGACGTCCGCCAGCAGGTCGGCTGGAAGAACAAGATGAAGCGGCTGTTGTACGGGCCAGGCTGGGTGCCGGGCACGGGCCGCCTGGGCGACGCCTCCACCTTCCCGGAGCCGGACCCGAAGCGGCCCCGTTTCGATACGACCGTGCCCGGCTGGCTGCGCGCCTACGTCTTCGTCCACTTCATGCTGGTCATGGTGCCGTCAGCCAACTTCGCCCAGAACCACTTGGTGTACCCGGTGCCGATCTGTCTGCTCTACAGCGCGGCGCTGATGTTCATGATCACGTGTCTGGGCTGGCTGCTGGACGGCGCGCGGCTGGCGCCGGTGGCCGAGCTGCTGCGCTGCGGCCTCTGTCTGCTGAGTCTGCCTCACCTCGGCTGGCTGCCGGCCGCCGCCGCTGCCGCCGCGCGCGCCCTCTTCCTCGCCTCGATCCTCTTATGGTTGCTACGGGGTGTGGTCAGCGCCGTCGGCACGGCCAGGACCAAGGCGGAGTAGCGGGGCCTGCGACGGAACGTCGGCAACGGGCCGCACGCGGTGACTCTGCGGTGAGGGAAGGCATTGCTAATCATTAAGTGACTCGTTGGGAAATATAAGTTAACCATGGCCACGGTGTTTGGGCGACGTTCATGTGTTGACGTGCCTTTGCTCTCTGGAACTGCTCGCTAAGACATCTGTTTTTCTGTGCCTTCCTGAGTTTTTAAGCAAGTTATCAACGTTCGAAAAATTGTGGGAATTATGAGGAAATTGGAAGGTAAGATTTATGTCAGTCATAAACAGTCATTATCCAAAGTAATTAGTCGAAGCCACAAGTGATAGCAACATGCAAGCTGCAGGTGTAAATAACTATTGCATTCCTTAGAGCGTCGCATTCTTGTTCGTTGCAACATATTTACCAATTTTGCATGGAAGCGGCTTACAGCTATTGACGAAATTCAAGTGCTGTTTGCATAGTCTGTGTTCATTGGTGTATACTGCAGGAGATGGCGGCACCTGGCACCAACACGCATTTGACAATGTCAGAGATAGGAAAGCAGGTATCTCTGAAACTTTTACCGGAAAGTGTTTTGGGTTCCGTTGCGGCCTCAGTTCTACACATTGGTATGAACATTTTGGGATCTCTTTCACTGCTTGCGTAGTTCACGACCACCGAAAGTCCCTGAAGTGGCGCTGAATCAGCCAACGCAGCAGCGTTGGTGCATACATGTTTCGGCATTGTCAATGACGCGTTCGGAAAAGAACATATTACGCAAGGGTCTCCTGGTTCATGGATACTAATCGGATGTGTTTTGTGCCACGGCTAGTGCTGACCCGAGTTCCGCCGCTACGTCAACAGGCTTTTGTTTTGGGGTTTTGATAAACTTGTTGGCTGATAAGCCATGCGGTTTTACGTTACTTGCGGTTTGCTGACGGAATGAATAACAAAATGAAGAAAATGCCACAACTGTTGACAAAAAAATCTTGTTTTGGAGAGATATGGATATGATCTGGCATCACCTTTTGCTGTCTTTTAGGGCTGTAAAAAACACCGTGTCCGTCTTAGACGATCAGTTCGACTACTTTCGGAATACGGAAGACGGCAGTTCGATGTAACCCAATAACGGACTTCTACTGCTATTTTCCCCGAAGTGGTAGCGTGTCAATTTCTGACTTATAGTGTGGGAGGAGGGGGTGGGTAGTCGGTATGCAGCTTTGAAAGCCACCATGTATTGGTGCCTGACTGGACAATTGCTTCCGCTGAGGCCCAGCTGGCCATTCAGCGTCAGTGGGCGGTCGTTGTATCGGCCATGGAAACGGCGACCAAGCGGTCAATACGTGAGCCGACTTCACGCTCAGCCACGGTGTAGGTCTGGCTTCGTGACGTGATCAGATCCGAACTGAGCGCTGCGGAGGGCGGGGGGACAAGCAGGTGTCGACAATATTCCGCGCCAACTTGAACAGTATCGTGCCTTCTAATACGGCAGCTTCTGTGCTGACGGAAACAACGAATGCGGACTTGCAACGCAACGGATAAGAATGGGCCAGAACATCCACTATACCATCACGCTTGAGCTACGGGAGCAGCTCAAGCGTGATGATACTCAGATGTCATTACGTCAGGGCTTGCGTGCTTTCACATGTAGCCTCATGTCACCGCCCCTACCGCACAAATTGCATTGTTTACAAGTCCGCGTCGCCATGTATATCGGATCCGCTTGTGCGAGGATCCCCGACCGAGTCCTCCTCGTGCTGGCTCCAGTCTCGAGCACCGAGCACCGGTGCACTCCACGCTCCACTCTCTTTCCCGCAGGTGTGCAGACCCAGGGGCCGCCTACCGTCGTCAACACAAAAAACAAAACCACCTGGGTGACAGTTCAGTACAGCTATGGACGGCGACTCCTGGTTCCTTGTGCTGCTCTACCCGGAGGAAGGTTATGCATGTACGTACGCTGTGCACACTGATGTATTTTTTCATTGGCTGTAGTCGTATTTAGTTATAAGTTGGCAATGAGAAATTCTTGTTACAGTCAAGACTTAAGCCTCACAAACTTCTTTTTCAGTCGGTTGGTGGCACCAAATCGACAGACGACGTTGTTACCCACGGCTTCGGAGTGGTGCAGCTGGCCAGATTTGTCCGCTTCAGTTTTGAAACATGGACCTGGCCCGAGGACGTCAACTGTTTCCGCTTGGAGGTGATAGGCTGCGTGTCAGGTAATCGTCAATCGTCCGCATGTGGTATTCACAAGAAGTTGCTAAGTGTTGCTCTCACACAAACGTTTGACTGGCATGTCGTGACCAATTTTTTTTGGAAGAAATGTACTCAAAATAAGTCACAAAATGCCGATGTAATCTTATCTGAACGCACAAACCATTGCATATCAACATATTTCAAGAAAGAAAATTGCGAAACGCACTGAAGCCGCCTTGTTCTGATTTCCAATCATAACTGAGAGTTGACCAGAACATTGACCGCTGTCAATCGCCGATTCCCATGGTACACTGTGGTTTTGACCCCTTGATCCGTCGACCCTGCACGCCTCCTGTCGCTTTAAGGGCATATCGAATGAGCATATCCTCACCGATGCCGCTGCACCCCAGGCGTCTGCCTTCTGCGGCTGCGTGGCCCCATAGCCCGTTAGTGACCTCCGTTATCGTGCCCGCAGGCTGGTCCCCTCAGGTCAACATCAGCCACGAGGCTCATCCGGCCGGCTGGGTCGACCTGCGCTGGACCCAGCCGCTGGTCAGCCTGTTCCGCCGGCAGGACCCGATGATCTTCAGGTGACCTTGACCTCTGACCTCTTGGTCACAGCTGCCGCTGCGCACTGAGACCGTGCTCAAACCCGTGCGAATCGACGCCGCGTGCCCTCCAACGGCTGGTAGCAGACGGTTTACAGATATCGGCTACATCTGGCACATCGGCCTTGTTTCCGCCAGGTGCTGCATACATTATAGATGTACTGCGAGCGCCTTGCACCACTTAGTCGCCCACCTTTCATCGCACTGAATCAAATGGACGTGTAGATTGAATATAAAACGTTGGGTACCCAATGGCATAGAGAGCCATTGCAGCGCTATTGTAATTTTCAAGCAACTATAGCGGTCGGTAAACCTGACGTCGCCTACTCGAGCCCCTCTGTGCATCCGGCCTGTTCTGCTCGAACCCCTCTGTACATCCGTCCTGTTCTGCTCGAACCCCTCTGTACACCCGTCCTGTTCTGCTATAGCCCCTCTGTATATCCATGCTGTTTTGCTCGAGCCCCTCTGTACATCCATGCTGTTCCGCTCCAGTCTCTCTGTACAATGTGCATCCCTCCTGTTCTGCTCGAGTCTGTACACTCGTCCTGTTTCCTCCTCTTGCGGAGGCGTGTGCGCCATGTCACGTCTTCTTCCAATCTGTCCCTTATATGAGCCAGCTTGCGCTCACCTGCTCATCTGCGCCCGCCCTGCTCCGCAGCCTGCCGGTGGACCTGTACTCGCTGGAGGTGCGGCACAACAACGGCTCGGGCGAGACGTCCCAGCACTGGCAGACGATGGACCGGCGCTGGCTCATCCTGCACCCGCTCTGGGGCGGCAGCTACTCGCTGACCGTGCGGTGCCACGTGCGGGGGGTGCCGCTCGAGTGCGGCAGCTACCAGCTGGTGGCGCGAGTCGACTGCCCGCCAGGCGTCAGCCGCTGCAGCGTGGACGCGGGTGAGCATGGACCGCCACCGGTGGGGCTCCATCCGAGCACTCCGGGTATACCATTCCGCTCCGTGGTGGACGGTGACGACGTGGGAGTCACTCTCGCAGCAGTTTACAGCTGGTGCCGGCGCAGTGGAATAGAAATGCAAAACGAGTCGCACTTTCGTGACTTTGTATCCGCCATCCACCTCTCACCATGCATGGCCAAGTGTTATTTGATCTAATTCTACATGCTCCCAAAAATCATGCTGGTGTTTTCCATTAGATAAATGGTGCAGCCGTGTCCAAATTCCGGTATTGTATCGCTTCACATCAACTAAAAATTCAACCTATGACCACAACGCCCACTTGTTTTTCATTAGCTTTACCCTCGCATGCCATCAAACAGCGCATCTGAGACCATTGCCCCCGCCCCCCGCCCCCCGCTGGTCTCCCTTTGCTTCCACATTGTTTTTGACATTGAGGCCACGCCGCGGCCCGCGCCAAGCGCGCCGCCGCCTGCGTCAGTGGGCAAGCAGCCCATTTCGGAACTGTGTCCCACGGCCCAGCGTTGACGCGGCGGCGTTTAGTGGCCCGAACCGCCCCGGGCGGCTCCCGAACGACGGACCGTGGGGGACCGAGTATGCACCGACCGAGTAGTATGCAGGTGACGCTCATCTAGCTATCCATCCCGATCGTTAGCACATTCAAGATCATCCACCGTTTTCAATAGGGATGCATGGCTTAGTCAGGATAAGAAGCTACCCCATCATTAAGCGACAGCCGCTATGAAACTATTTACGGTGGTGTTCTTGGGTTCCTTCGTAGTTACGACATACGCACTCTTCTGAAATGCCAATGAATCAGGCAAAACTCCTGGATTATGCAAATCCAGACTGTTACCGTAAACGCTTCAGAAAATAGTTACTCCGTTGGCGTCTTCGTTTCTGTAGCTATGTTTTTAAGATGCACCTCGCCAATTTTCGCCTGAGCACCGGGACGTGCACCGCGATCCTCTGGAGTCCGTCCAATCGTCGGGCACACTCATCGGCGACAGGCCTTACCTGTTCACATCTGCCTGCTTGTAGGTGTTACCTACAGATGCCTGGGTACATCTGAGACCGGCCAACGGGCTGCTCCGGTGACATCGGTCCCAAAATGTCTCTGAACATAAGTCGTCGTATGCTTGCACTCCGGACTAATGCGCAAAACACAAGGAATGACCTATGTGCCGAAACGCCCGCAGCCAACTTATGCAGTTGTTCGTTTTACGTCCGGCACTGAGCATCCGACGCCTTGTTGCGTCTGTTGGGGCAATCAGTTTTCACGGGAAAAATATTATTTTTCAGTTGGGTTTCACAAAACACAATCAGCGAAATTCGTTCTGCTATGAAATTTATGTTTGAAATTCATGGGGTGTCTTTAATGAAATATGGACTTGGCACTGGATGATGCGTGTACGAAAGCAGTTAATAAAAGGCATTAAGGTTAGGCGTGAATTCCAATTCCAGGTGCATACCAATCCGTGACTCGTAAACCACAGGTGGTTTTAAAAGGCATGGAATACTTTGTTAAGCCTTTGATTTACATAATTGCCAAACGACAATAACGTAAAGATTTAATTACAACCTTACCCTAGTATTGCCATGCGTGACATTCCCAATATTTAAGAATATGTATATGTGGTCGTGAAATTGGTCGTGTTATTTAACTTCGGGTCCAGGATTTGGCATGGCGGGAGAGAGAAAATCTGACCACGGTTTTTGAACAGAAATATTTGGTGACTTGCAATATCCATTTCAAAGATCATCGCCAAAAAAATGCCGAATGCCGCTGAAAAAATGCCGAATGCCACGAGAAACACTTAATGAGAGCACTCGAGCTTAAAACAAATGCTTGGAGTGTGGTAAGAGCCAACATCTAAAAAACATGCCAACTTGTGAGACCAGCACTGAGAATTACACTCTCAAGGACTGCGGCACTATCGAGGACTGCGGCACTATCGAGGATTGCGACAGTATCGAGGACGACGGCACCATCGAGGACTGCGGCACTATCGAGGACTGCGGCACCATCGAGGTACTGCGGCAGTATCGAGGACTACGGCACTATCAATGACTACGGGCCAGCTTCATTCTCACGTACGCACTCTGTTGCAGCCTCCGGTCTGCATATCGGGGGGGGCGGGGGGCAGATATGGCGAGGGAGAGATGGGGGGGGGGGGGGGTTGGCCTGGCAAGACGCTCCTACTCTTGGTTCATATGTGAGGGTGGTCGAACGGGTGAAAAGGAGGAGCGCCGCCACTGCATCCTATGTTAGCCGTCCTCCGTCGATTACGTGGGACCCATGAACCCGCTGGCTGTTGACTCGTTACCTGGCAACTGCGATACAGTGCAGCCTGAAATGACCATGACCGTCGTAAATTGCGCCGAAATAAGCCCTGCCAGCTTGGCATGGAACCTACCAGCGCTGCCACTTTACTGAGTGCACCGGGCATTACGTGCGCGTCGCATCGCACCGCCGCCGGGGCATTGGGTCATGGAGATCGGGCTGGTGTAAGAACCGAATCCCATCATGTTTGAACAGCGCCTGTGCGTATGATATGGAGTGACTCTCTCAAAGACAGTCTCTTCAACTTCGGTGTGCGATCAGAGCAGCGAAGACAAATTTACGCTCGCGACGCAAATCTAGGTAATCTGCCATGGCACCCTGCCACCTGCTGGTATTCAAAATTTGCACTTATTGGTCTGCATGAACGCCACTGAAACAGTGTATTTCGTTTCAATGCATGACTTGGCCATTGATCTTGTTTTATTTTGGATGCGACACAGCACTACAAGTTGTGTGATCACTGACTCACCTATCCTTAAACGGAAGCCGCCGAGGTCTCTCAGCTTTGCGGGCAACACGCCTGCGTTTGCAGCAAATGAACAACGAGCCCCTCTCATGCTTCCGAACCCGCCGCGGGGAGCGCAGCGGCGGCTGAGACACGTGCTCGGCCGCGACGAACCCCTCTCATGTTTCCGAACCCGCCGCGGGGAGCGCAGCGGCGGCTGAGACACGTGCTCGGCCGCGACGAACCCCTCTCATGCTTCCGAACCCGCCGCGGGGAGCGCAGCGGCGACTGAGACACGTGCTCGGCCCGGCAGATTTCCTGCTGCCGGACGTGCTGTCAGCCGCCTGGGTGACGACCAACAGCTCGCTGCGCACCTGGTGGACGATGGGATCGCAGGGCTGGCGCACCACCCAGATGGTGTTCTCCGTCACTACCGGCGACGGCACCAGCGTCACCAACCAGGTCAGCACTGACACTAAAGCGGGCCAAACGGGCGTGGAGAAGGTGGAGTGCGGTCAGTACATGGTGACGGGGCTGGACTTCACGTCGCGTTATGAGCCGCGGAGTTTCGGCGACCCTACTCCGGTGACCCGTGTCATATGACACCAAGTTGACGGCACTAGGAGAGAAAAGCGTGGTCGCCAGTTGGCTGGCAACGAAGACGGCCGCACCCAAGTGTATAACTCGCCCCGACCGGCCGCCCTGCCCTGCCGCCCAGACCTGTCACTCTGATCTGCTACCCTGACTGCCGCCCTGACCTGCCCCTCTGACCTGCTACCCTGACCTGCCGCCCTGACCTGCTACTCTGACCTGCTGCCCGGACCTGCCACTCTGACCTGCTGCCCTGACCTGCCGCGCTGACTGTCGCCCTGACCTGCTGCTCTGACCTGCTGCCCTGACTGCCGCCCTGACCTGCCACTCTGACCTGCTGCCCTGAACTGCCGCCCTGTCCAGATCATCAGCTCGTCCGAGACGAGTCGTGAGGTGTCGGACCTGAGCCCCAGCCAGGACTACGACGTCTACATCTCGCCGGTCGTGCCCGAGCTGCTGTCGACCCCGACCGTCCACCGCGAGGTCAAGCTCGGTACGTCCCCGCCGGAGGGCAGCTCGGTCCAGCGCCTGTGGCGGTGGTGGCCGCCGCACCTGAGGCACGGCCGGCGCCTCAGTCGCCCGCCCCGCGAGCTTCCGCTCGAGGTCAGGTCCTGTGCCGTGCCGCGGTGCCGCCAGAGGTCAGCCGACGGTCTGCCGACTGTGTAACGATTGTCCGGTTCACGGCCGGAACCTGTGGAGGGTTACGGCCGCGGTCGGCTGTGGGGGCCTCGTGACTGTCACAGACTGCTTTTCATTCCCCGCGGCAATGGTCGATGCTTCCACACAGTGCGGTGTGGCACGGACGTACTACCCCCCCCCCCCCCCCCCCACAGCCCCCCACACCGTTTATTACGGCATGCGAGATGGTAACAACTCATGAAATGTCCAGTCTCGGGCCAAAACCTATGCTGGTACTCTCTTTAAACCACCCCACGGGCGGTTCGTAAAGGAGCGCCGTTCGGGAATGGGATGCCACTGGCAGAATAGCTCCCGGCACGGATGAGGGCGTATAGCTGGTGACTGACGTGTGGACGGTCTCACCCGAGCTGCTCTTTCAGTACCTCTGTGTCGTGCTGAGCGGCTGACCGCTCCGACCTCACCCGAGCTGCTCTTTCAGTACCTCTGTCTCGTGCTGAGCGGCTCACCGCTTCTCTGACTGACCAGACCTCGGATGGTGCTGCCGGGGGGTCGGAGTCTGTGGCAGGTCAGTGCCCTACCCCAGCACATTTCTCTGCGATGCAGAACGTCATCTATTCGGAATTGGCACGCCCTCATTACGCGCCGTCTTGCCACCAAGCAAAGAATATATAACGACCGTGTTCACGCTAGCGTTATAAATCATGCTAGCGTGAAAACACCCAGTCTTTTTAGACCAGCACCTGGTTTGGCACCCACACGAAACATAGTATCAGCAGGAGCGCAGCCCACGGTTTGCCGTGTCGTGTCTATCAAACTTGCCGATAAAAGTGAACACAGAAGCGTTTTGTTTTATCACGTACGTATTCGTCACGAACAGAACAATTGTTCTGGCTATCGTCCTCGTCTGACGAGTTAGAATGTGCACAACGTCTCAGCCAGTGAACTCTCTAGTCATCGTCAGATGTTATGGAGTCATGGGAAGGACTGGATGATGCTTAGCTATCAGCCATGTATGCGTCCCATTTCGAATTCTCTCCTTGGAATTGCTGGGATTAGAACCAGTCATCTTCATTGCGAGCCTGGTGTTTTACCAACTGAGCTAACTGGGTTAGCTAAAAGGGTAGGTACTAGCTCCATTGGTAAAGAAATGGACTTGCAATCAAGAAGATTCTGGTACGTCCGCTCGTACGGCTATGGGCCTGCAATCAAGAAGATTTTGGTCGAATCCCTGCAATTCCATGGAGATAATTCGGTTTGTGAGGCATACATTACTGATGTCAACCAACACCCAGTCCTTCTCAGGATTTCAGAAGACCTGACAACGGTCGGAAAGTGAACTGGCCGAAACGTTGTGTAACTAACACACCAGACGAGGATGATAGTCCGAACAAGTATTCCATCCGTGATATCAATACCGCGTCTGAATCCTTTCATCAAATTGTTACTTTCTTGTCATTTCCACTTTTGAGGCACATTATGATATGCTCCCATCGGACTAACTTCACCGACGAAAAATCACGAAAAGTCAGTTAATGACGAAACAAAGCCGATTGTCGATAAGCTCGGTGGGCTGCAATCGTTAGGAAAATAAGCCCCGGCACTTTCGGTTACTTAGGCTCGCTCTACCACCTGCGGTATCTGAGCACAAGTTGCATTCGTTTTTTTGCAGCGATCGGGACGATAAAGATTTTACGTGACGTTACGTAAAACATTTTCCGGACATCCACAATACCTGTCCGTTACTTGAAGCAGGCAAGGATGGAAATGCTCATGAGATGAAATGTTGGAAATGTAAATGAAATATTTTGGATGCGCATTTATCGTGACGAAAATCACAAACATGTGAACAGGAAACGTGGCGTGCTGCGAACACGTTCAACAAATATTATACGTGACGTCACGTAGGATAGAAAATTCTTGGTACCCTGAGAATACAGCCTTAGGCTCTTTTCGGATGTCTATGCCCCTCAGGCCTAAAGATAAATACTTTGTGACTAATCAACGTGACTTATTTATTTAGAGATACCCGTGCGTCAAGCGTATAATCGATTTCACGTGTCTGGTATGCCACGTTGAATGGTCTGCAAAGGTCTCATTCGTTCAACGTGCTCATCCACTGTCATTAGCCTCGGCATAGAGCCAACACGGGCGACCGCGTGGCCCACACAATGCAAGTGTTGCGGTGCTCGCAGCCTGCTGTCCCTGCCCCTCCTCTGACGTATTACCCGGTCAGCGGCCTTACAAACGCTGACGTATTACCTGGTGCGCGGCCTTGCAAACACTGATGTATTACCCGATGCGCGGCCTTACAAACACTGACAGCGCTGCGGCGCCCTATCAGCTGCCCCCTGTGCACGTCCGAGGTAGTGTGACAGCCATGGTCATGGGTACGCCGGCCGTATGGATCGCCGCTGCCCGTCGAACTTGGCCGTGCAGCCTGTTTGTCGGCTGTTTCGGCGTCACGCGGGGCGACAGCGGCACCAATCGAAGCCCGATTACGCAGCGACCCCGCCGCATCGCCGGAGCTCGCGACTTCGCCTGGGCCAACACTGATGCAACATGGCGACCACCTCCGCCAGTTTTGCCTCGGGTCGCTTGCGCCCTGTGTTGCCTGAGATGCTTTGTCAGGTTAGTGAGCCACGGGGCGCTCTCAAGGACACGATCAGCGAAAATGCATCAAAGTGTCGCTTACCACGCTACGTCAGGATGTATTCGGCGGTGTGCTTTGCAATTGTCAATTTTACGTAGCACGTACCGTGCGAAGCTTCCATAAAACGCCCATGTACCTCAGCAGAGTAGCGGCCCTTTAAAAATCAAGGTCTTGCTAAGCCAAGACAACATCTGATCAAATGATAGGCAAATTAGTACGGAAAATTCCAAAAGACCATTCGTATTTGGCAATGTTATAGAGGCACCTCTGCATGTTGCCAGATCGTGTTATTTGTGATTATTTTATGGATCTGACATTGTGTGAGCTTTGTATATTGCTCGTGTGGAAATGGTGGCGTGCTGTGGCCTCAGCAAACTTTGTATTTGCGAGCAAACAGAAGAAGGCCATGGATCGTGTAAAGACGGCACAAGATCCAGCATGACCTGGTCTGACATTTCAGCCGTAAGGCGCGCTCGGGTGGGGATCAATTGGACCCGAGGGTCTTCCGGAATGGTTTCCGAACGGCGCGGCGCAGCCGCGCTAAATTTTGCGCAGCTGTAGGCAATTAAATATCGGGTCTTTTGGTATCCAAAATTAGATGTCCATAACCTACGGCAGGTCAAAGTCAGGCCATGGATTCAACGAAGTCAATTTCCAGGGAATCTTTCAGTCTGATACAATAACGGAGTGTAAGCCGAAGCCATACATCTCTGAGATACTGTATTAGGCAACAAAAATTGAATGAACAAGTTCCATTAACTTAGGGTCAGGCGTGAAGGGCAAACCAAAGTCAAAACCAACCTGTTTTATTATTCTGGGACTTGCTGTATGGGGCAGTTTCTAGTGTTCATTTTGAATTTATTGATAGCAGGAATCGCATCATACGTCTTCCATGGGCTTCTAAAAGGTCCGAATAGGCCAATGACCTAAAATGATCCAGATCAACATTTTTTGTTAGGAGAATACTGCCTAACACAACCTTTGTCGCTTATTCGAAACTCTAAGCAGTCTTGTATAATTTTGGTCATCGTGACCTTCAAAAGCTCAAAAAAGTCAATGCCCTTAAATAAGCATGTGACGCTTAGAACAGATGTTAGGTTCTGGGGCGCTTTGTACACCAACCATTAGCTTGACCTTGTTTGACCTCATTTGGGCTGAATGTCATCACCTGGGAACCTAAAACTTTGACCAAAGTGAGTTCACGTGCAGGCCAATGCACCCTTTGAATTTGGTGTCTCCAGCTTTCTTATGTTCTGAGATCTCAGAGAGGTCATATTGACCTGCCACCCGAGCGGAGGGTATCCAACCGGCCACCCGGGCGCGTGCTAAGGATTAACCGAAAATGACACCATTAAACCAGCCCTCCAGCTTCTATCTTGTGACTTCTGTTTTTTTCTTTAGCAACGCCAGATGGGAGCAGGCGGTGGGCTCAATGCTGTCGAAGTAACAGGTCACAACTGCTGGATGTGCTTACACCCGCCGTTTGAAATGCCATCAACAGGGCGGGTTCGCTTGCAGTGTCGATGACTGTGGATTTTGGTAACTGGCGAGAGCAGTCGCTCGCGGGGCCTGTGGCCGACGAAGAAGCTCATTTTCACGTCACAGTCTGACTGCTCTGTCTTGCTGACGGTGCTTGGCTGACAGACACTGATGCTTTATTGGCAGTGATGCCGGCGTGTGGGCCGGAGGTCAAGGCCAAGAGAGAGAGAGAGAGAGAGAGAGAGAGAGGAGAGAGAGCGAGAGAGAGAGGATGAGAGAGAGAGGAGAGAGGGAGAGAGAGAGAGAGAGAGAGAGAGAGGAGAGAGGAGGAGTGAGAGAGAAGAGAGAGAGAGGAGAGAGAGCAGAGAGAGGAGAGAAAGAGGAGAGAGGGAGAGAGAGAGAGAGAGAGAGAGGAGAAGAGAGAGAGAGGAGATAGAGAGAGGAGAGAGAAGAGAGAGAGAGAGAGAGAGGAGAGCGAGAGAGAGAGAGAGAGAGAGAGAGAGAGAGAGAGAGAGAGAGAGAGAGAGAGAGAGAGAAGAGAGAGAGAGAGAGAGAGAAGAGAGAGAGAGAGAGGAGAGAGAGGGGAGAGAGGAGAGAGAGAAGAGAGAGAGAGAGCGAGAGAGAGAGAGAGAGAGAGAGAGAGAAGAGGGAGGAGAGAGAAGGAGAGAGAGAGAGAGAGAGAGGGGGGGAGAGAGAGAGAGAGAGAGAGTGCAGACAGGCTTTGAGACACGGTTGTGCGGACGAGGGGGGGGGGCGGGGGTGCGCCGTGCGGTGTAGCTGCACCGGTGACATATCAGCTGTGCCGGCCGTTCGTCCACGACTCTAGGGACCCGATAACGCTCCACGCATTATAGATAAGACCCAACGATTAGCCGCCCGGTCGCCTCAGTCGGTAGAAGTCGGCCGGTAGAAGTCAACCAGACATACGGTAGATCAAACGAAACGGCAGACTCGGCATGGACATGCGCAGCAGGTCGGATGCGGGACCCTGCTGCCTGAGCTGTTTTGACGAGCTGTTCTGACTAACGAATTAGCGCCCTCCGAACAGTTTCGGCAACATGCAAGCTCCCTTTAAGATGGGACATCATCAGGGGTATAGTTTCGTACACTAAGTCGTGGGGGGGGGGGAGACTAAACAGCGAAATATGGCTACAATTGCACAAAATTCCCACCGGAAGTGACCCTAAGTTTTCTCCAAATTGTGAAGGCGGGGACGTAGTAGAGCACCCAACTGAATGGTAAACTACACTTCTGGATGTCATCGTCACGCCTAAGAGTTTGAATTCATGATTTCATGACACGTTCACGTTCAACCAGATGAAGCGGGGTGCTTACGAGAGTGGTGCGTTGTGAAAATGTGTTCCGGGGTATCGCATCATTTTTGTTGACATGAAAGAGATATTCACATTCACGTTTCATGGCATATTCACAGACGAATATAACTGTTCAACTTATTGGATGCTGCAGAATATGACGTTCGTTGCGGCATTTGGATGAGCGACCAGTTCTTCCATCAAAACATTTACGTTCCGCAACATTTACCCAAAGACATAGCTGCCGTATCTTGTAATCCGTATGCGAGAGCCCTCACTCACAATTAAAGTTGCTGCGTCGCACGGCCAGAGTCGCACGGCCAGGGTCACACGGCCAGGGTCGCACGGCCAGGGTCTGCACGGCCAGGGTCGCACGTCGTCAGCTCGCAGACTTGCGCGCGGCGGATGGCGCCGGCGACACCGGCGCGACAAAGTCGTGGGACAATATAGTCGTATGACAGAGCCGTGCGACAAAGCCTTGATAGGGCCGTCCGACGGGGTTGTGCACAGAGCCGTGCGACAAAGCCGTGACAGAGTCGTGTGACAGGGTTGTGCACAGAGCCGTGCGACAAATCCGTGACAGAGTCGTGTGGCAGAGCTGTGTGGCAAAGCCGTGGGACGATAGAGCCGTCCGACAGAGTTGTGCAGTAGAGCCGTGCGACAAAGCCTTGACAGAGCCGTCCGACAGAGTTGTGTGACAGAGCCGCCCGACAGTCGTGCGACAGAGTCGTGCGACGGAGCCGTCCGACAGAGTCGTGCGACAGAGCTGTGCGACAGGGCCGTGTGCACCGCTGACAGCGCTGCTCTGGTGTCCGGCAGCGGTGGTGGCGGACGTGGCGGTCACGGCCTCACCCCAGTGGCAGGGCGTACTGAGCGTCACCTGGCAGGAGGCCGCGGCGAGGGCGCTGGCGCCGCTGTCGGAGACCAAGATAAACTGGTACTCGGTGCAGGTGTCGAGGAACGGCAAGCCCCTGCTGAGCCAGCTCGTCAATAACACGTCCGTGACATGGAACGAAGGCCTGCACATGGGGAGCCAGTACGACGTGACTGTGGAGTGTATGCTCACGGTCTCGGGGAAGCGTTTCGTCTGCGGCAGAGACGTGGTTTTCACTGGTGAGTATCGGCTACCGTTGCGACCAGACAAGCGCAGCTCCTGCCGAACGTGGAGAGTAGCTTGGCATCATCTAACAACGAAGCGAAGTCACCGAATGTGTTCGCCAGGTCCAGTCATCGCTGGTGATTCTGCGTTAGGATATCATTTGACGCCCTTTACCATCACTCATTTGGTACTCTTTTGGTGCTTGCTACTGAATGTTGCGTTTATCCCCGCGCCGAAGTGCTTGATACGATCTGCTTATTGCAAAACGTTGACTGATTCCAATGCATCGTATTGTAAATATGCATCGCAAGATCTGTTTAGTCACTCTACATTCACGTTACATTCACGAGTACCATCCACTCCTCATAAGACTGTGCCTAGCCAACTGTATCACATCGCAACCAAACCCGCAGCTCCTCGCACAGAATTGCCACACATAAAGTTTTGAAAGCAAATCTCCAGTTTCCATTTGTGTTAACAATGGCCTCTCGCGGCGGTCCGACAAGATGCGTGCCTCGTCCTACCCTGCCTCCGTGGCACCCCGCCCTGACAAGTATTGCCTTACCCTTTCCTTCCCTGTCCGGCTTTGCCCTATCCTGCTCCTCCCTCTGCTGCTCTTCGCTGACTCTCACACCACCTGTTATACCGTGCCACACCAAACCGTGTCTGACTTAGCTTGCTTTGTCTTGACTTGCGCTGCCCTGACCTGACACACCCTGCCCTGTTCCTACCTGACTCGTGACCTGACTTGGCACCACCTGACCTGATCTGACCCACGGCGTGGCCTACCTATCCAGCACCGAGCCAGCCCGCCCGGCTGGTGACTTAGCCTGACCTGACCGGGCCTGACCTGTCCCACAGCACCGCCTCCCTGGCAACGGGCCGGTCCGGCTGGCTGATGACTTAAACCTGACCTGACCTGACCTGACCTGGTCCACAGGGCCACCCGCCTCGCTGCTGCCGAGCCGGTCTGGCTGGCTGCTGCACGACATGCCAGGCCCGCCGGTCGCCTGGCAGGAGGCCGAGCTGGCGTGTGCGCGCCGCGGCGGCCACCTTGCCTCGGTTAACAGCACGGAGATACACGGCCACCTGGAGCAGCTGCTGCAGGCGATGAGCCACGACGAGGCCTGGATCGGGCTCAACACGTGCCAGTCAGGTCAGCGCCGGTGCCGATAATACAGCCACCTAGGCATATCAACAGCGTCAGGTGGTGGGGCTGTACATCTATACATCGAATGTCCCTGCTGTGCGTAGTGTGCCTTCAAGTGCCTCATTTTCTGCGGAAATTCTGATGTGGCTCGACGTTTTGGTCTTGCGCAGAACGAATAGGAAGTGGGTGCGTCTATACGTGGCTCTCTCTCTCTCTCA